GATTGGCTTTTGGGTTGACAACTAGCAGTATCTTCCACAAAAACACTTTTAAAATTGATTCTGGAAAATGTTGAAGTTCCAGGAATTTTGGAGGCAGAGAGAGAGAATGAATGAATTTAACATTTTGAATAAAAGTTCCTTACAGGCTCAAGCTTAGGACAAAAAAATTACCTATATTCCACCAGTGGGCAATTAGACACTTCATCAGCATAGGCTGGCTTGAGTGGTTTTTAAGGAACTACTCAGGTACCTTCCCACTTGGTCATAGGATGTCTGACAGGCAGCACCAAACAATGACACCCTCAGAAGAATTTAGCAGTGATACATGATTGCTAATTTTTGTATTTTTAACCCAACTTTAATACTAATGAATTCCTGACCTAATGAATTCCTGGCCAGTTGCATTCAGAGAAGCACTGTTCAAATAGTCAAGTAACTTAACAACAAAAACCCAAAGTCCAACTTGCGTCTCTTGAAAACTCTTCGAAGGGAATCATTTTGTGCTACCCAACAACCCTTCTTGCTTCCCTTATTCTCTCCTATCCTAGTCTCTCACACATTTTGTTGTATTTCATGAAAAGTATCAATCCACAATGGATTGGAACTTTTTATTTTAATGGTCCTTCACCACAGAGTTTGGGAGAATACTGGTCTAGTCTAATGCTTCAATTTCGCATCATGAAGACCTAGAAACAGTCCAGGGGAGACAGACTCTCCTTGGAGAGTCACCATTCTCATTATTAGGGAAATGCGCTAGGATGAAGGGTGGGAAACGTGCAAAAATTTACAATATAGTAAATATTTTACTCATTATGCAATCATAAAATGAATGTGAAAAATGTAAATATTTCAGCTGGGGGTGGAGAAAAAGGGCCCACCCAGTTTCCTTTGGCTTCTTTTCTTTATCATCACTCCAGTTTTAGAGTTACGCCCATCCATTCTTTCCTTGGGCCTCCAGGGGGAAGAAACAGGTAATGGTTAATTGACCAAAAGTAATAGGGAGCAATAAATCAGAACTATTGAAATGCTATGGCTCCCCAGATATTCTCGTGTGATATCAAACAGTACGGTCATATAGGGGAGAGTTGGCTACCCACTGGATCCAACATAAATTATGACAGGTGAATGTTCACTAAATATTGAACTGAATGTACTTTAAAGGAAATTGGATATAAATCAGGTTTTATTTAATTGATGATATTCCTCTGTTGTGGAATATAGTACTAGCTCAGGTACTTGGACTCCAGCTGGCTGAAACTCACAGGCTCCTGGAATGGATTTAATTTAAGTCGAGTAAGAGTTAGTTATTGCTACATACAAGATACCCCAAAACTCAGTGGCTTGTATACCCCAAAACATCACTGATTATTTCTCATAAGTTGGGGTGAGGGTGAGAGGCTGGCTCATCTTCACTGGGATTGCTAACTCTCTGAGGGTTTCCTGGGGCCTCTGGTCTTGGCTGGTTTAGTGCAGTATCTTAGCTGGAACAGATCTGTTCCATGTGTCATTCATCTTCCTTCTGAGACTGGCAGACATGCTTAGGTATGTCCTTCTCATGGCAGTGGCAGCAACCCAAGAAAGTAAGCAGAAATACTAAGACTTCTTGAGACCAAGGCTTGGAACTGTTCTGGCAGCAACTCACTCAACTGGCCAAAGCTTCGTAAGTGCTCGTTCCTTACTGAATATCTATACTGGGTGGCCTGAGGCACTTCAAACCCAATATAATCAAGAAAATCAAGACTCCCCATGTCATATACTCTTCTCCAATAACCTCCTTGGCCCAAGCTAGAAACCTATCCATCACTTTTTGACTCTTTTTCTCTAATATAGTAGAAAATAAGATTTCATTCACAGTGAAACAATGGAGTGCCTAGGAAATAACCTTACAATGTTCAAGACCTTTTTCTGAAAGGGTATTAACAGTCTATTAATAGGCAAAAAAAGAATATATGTAGGTGGGATATATTACCATAGTAAAGTTTTATGTGAATTCTTCCCAAATAAATCTGTATTTTCAATGAAATTCTAATAAAAATTTCACTGGATTGCTCAAGGACCTCAACAAACTTATTCTAAAATTTATATGGAAAAATAGAAGTTCATGAATAAGCCAGTTTTGAAAAATAAATGCAGAGTGGTAACTTACCCTACTGATACTAAGGCATATTACCAAACCAAAGTGATGAACATAAAATGGTTTGGTATAAGCATAGTCTAATGGAATGGAATAGAGAGCTCAGAAACACACCCACATGTACATGGGATCTTGATAGATGCAAAAAGCAGTATTTCAAAGCATTGTAGAGGAAATCATAAGAAAACCAGGTCATTACATGGAAAAAATACATTTGAATCCCTCCAGTTGGAGCAGAGACTGTTATAACATTACAGAAGAAAACTCAAGAGTGTGGAAAGACTTCATGTATAAAATTCAAAAGCCCAAATCATAAAACATATAAAATAAAATTAAGTTAAATAAAGATGGATTTGGCTACATAGAAATTAAGGATTTCTGTTCAATAAAAGACACCATAGATGAAATTAACAGATATATGACAGACTGGGAGAAGATATCTGCAATATCTAAAACTGTTAACAGATTAATATCTAGATTACAGAAAGAACTGTAAAAAAACAAAACCAAAAAGAAGAAATAAATAGGCAAAAAGATATGAATAGGCAGTTTACAGAAGGGAAAGTTCAGACAGCCATTTCAACAAACACATGGTATTCAGGGAATTACAAATTAAAACAACAATGAAATATCTCATTACATTCATAAAAATAGCTAAAAGTACAAAAGTGATAAATATTATGTATTGGAGATGATGTGGAAGACACAGAACTCCTTGTACACTGTTGGTGAGAATACAAAGTTGTATAGCTATTCTGGAAAGCAATCTAATGGAACATGGAGGAATTAAATGTCTGTCCTATGAACCAGAGATCACATGCCTTGCTATGTATCCCAAAGAATGGAATGCACAGGTCAGTAAAGTGGCATGAAAATGTTTTTCATTGTGATATCGATTGTGTTAATAGATAATTGGAAATCATTTATATGTTGACAACTAGGGGAATAGATAAATAAAATGTGGTATAGGTATACCCTGGAATACCAAAAGCAATGTATGTGGATTTTAAAAACATCTTTCAGTGTGGAAAAAATAAGAAACAGTGTAAGATTTAAAGCCAAATACTATTTGTGTAAAAGAAACACATGCACACATTTTATAAGTACAGATTTATATATAAGGACAATATCAGACATGTGACAGTGGGTAGCCACATTGGCAAAAAGGAGGTAATGGAACTGGGAAATGGGGAAATCGAGTGACATTGAAAAATGAAAACAAAAAACAAAAAAATGCAAAAGAGAAGAACTGTCCGTGGGTTAATGAGATAATGTGTTGTGAACTAAGGAGTATGATTATAACCTGATGTACAAAATAATAACTGAGGAAAAACATTATAAAAACAAAATCAAATTGTGAAGGTTGTAAAGTAGTACGCTTTTCTAGGGCATGGGCCATGCCCATTATACTAACTACCTTTTGATTTGAAAACTAGGTGTGGCAAAGGCTGCCCTTCACCTACTCAACATGTACTTTCTCTTTCTTCCATTCTTAGGGAACCCCTTTATATTAGAGGGAATAATGTGCCCAACTTAGAAAGACACACATACACAATACCCTGCCCTACCTGCAGCAAGGGGTGGATAGTGAGAGAGAAACAGAAGTCACTGGGTGTGGCTTTGGGAAAGTCCTTTTGACCTTGCCATTTTGTGCTATGAACTGACCTGGAAGCTAGCAACATGCCCTGAGAATAGCAAAGCAGAAAAACAGATGGATCCTGTGTCTCTAAAGACCTGGTAGAGCCACTGTACCAGCTCTGGACAGCCCATTTCCACATTTCTTTAATGTAATAGAAGAACCTCCTAATTTGTTTAATAAGTCATTTTAGACTAAACTGTGTTAACGTAATTCCTTATACACAAGGCTTTCTCTCTCTTTTTTTAAAATTGGCATTCTTTTCTTCCAGACTAATGGTCAGAGGTGAGGTATAGACTAGTAGTAGCATGAAGTCAGAATTTAGGCATGGCTAAAAGATCACTGTTGGCTTGACCATAAGGTGCCTTGTAGAAAGGCTCTTAAGCCCTAAGGAATAAAGTGTGTAGGACCCAGAGAGGGTAGTTCCCCGCTGGGGAGCTCACTGCCAAGCGGGAAGTGCACAGGACAAAAGACGCACAGAGCGCACTAGGACATCAAACTGGGGTCTTTTGCTTAGCTGTGTTCAGCGAACGTTTAAGGACAGCCGCTTGCCAGAGGACTGGCAAGATACGGTTGTTCGCTGACCTCCAGAGATCTCAGGCCCAGCATTCTAATTCTAACTAACCTTGGTGAAGGAGGGGTGTTAAGAAGCCCTCATCAGTTTAAAGGCTGGTGAACAAATGCTAGATTCACACACACCGAACAGCAAAAAAAATCCACGGAACCAGAGCATTTTTCTCTCCTGCTTCCACAGAATCTTTTTGCTTATTTTCCCATCAGGGATGGTCCTTTCTAAAAGACAGACCTAATAAATTTTTCTTTTCCCGGGGGCACAAACCAAACCTCATGGAATCAGCAGAATTACTAAGCAGAACACCAGAACACTAGAACACTACGTTCTAGATCTAGTTTAGCATTATCTCCGTAACCTTTGGCAACTCATTTCTTGGAGATTCGGTGTTCTCATCTGTGAAACAAGAAGCTAGGAAGTGCACTCTATGCAAAAAGTTTGAAACCTTTTTTGGAAGTCGACAAGTGCAAAAGCCTAAAACCAAAGGTGGCAATCTTCTGTCATCCCAGTGCGACGGTAGGCGTTTTTCCAGCTGCTCTCCACGCCCTCAGGTACCGCCCCGTCCCTCCACAGCTGGCGGGAATTGCGCATGTGCAGCATGTGGCCCTTTGCGCTTCCCGTCACTTCCCTTTCTGTCCTCTGCCCTGCCCACCGCCTGGGCCATCGCTTCCGGTTCAGCCCAGGAACGGCCCCCAGCGCTTATGGCACCTGCTTCGCTGGCCAGCCCATTGCAGCGCGTCTGCAGCAGTTTCGGTAGTGGGGAACTCAACTGCAGATAAAGTTTTTCTGTTTCAGAGCCGGGCGGATTGGGCCAGCCGTTCCTCTCTAACACAGACAACGAACTTTCGGGCGTTATGGCCAGGGGCCGCAGCGGCCAGGCGGATATGAGGCCGCTGTTCGCTGCCGGCGCGCTCTCGTGGCTTCTGGGTCAGTCGGCGACCCCCTCAGCCTGAGCGCAACTCCTCCTCGTCCACGGGCCGCCTCGCGCCAGACCCCATGGCCTCCGAGGCGCCGTCGCCTTCGTTGTCACTGTCACCACCTCCCTCCCCCGAGCCTGAGCTGGCCCAGCTGAGGCGGAAGGTGGAGAAGTTGGAACGTGAGCTGCGAAGCTGCAAGCGGCAGGTGCGGGAAATCGAGAAGCTCCTGCATCACACCGAGCGGCTGTACCAGAGCGCCGAGAGCACCAACCAGGAGCTCCGCACTCAGGTGCGCAGTCCGTCTCCTGCCCCGCGCCCCATCCAGCCCAAGGCGAGGCTTTCGAAGCCTCTGGTAACCTCGAAAGGGTTCCCTGGTAGGGCTCAGACTACTTTATAGAGTACCTGGAAGAAATAAAAGTTCTGTGCAATTATAATTCCCAGTGCATATAGAGCAAACTTGAGTTCGTATTACTCCATTTAAGGTTAAGTGCGTGAGCTGCGGTTACGGCTGGCATGGAGTGAACTTCAGTACTTCGTCTTCGTTCTTGTAATATCTAGTTGGCAGTAGGCAAACTTACAATACTCTATCTAGATCACTTTTGAGTTTGTTGAAGCACTGGACTGAAACAGAATCCCATTTGTCACTTTCTAGATGTGTGAACTGGTACTGAACTTAAGTTGCCCATAAAATGAGAATTCTAGTACCACACAGGTGAAGGTTAAATTAAATTAAGTGTGAACAAACTTTTACAGTATCACAAACTGTTGAACGTTATAAATATCTAAGGTTGTTATTCTGGCCATTTATCAGCTTGAATTTTCTGTTGGAAGTAAGATGTAACTGTTAGAGACACTAAGCAGCTAACTTCATTTTCATAAAATACAGTAAGGATGAGTAAGCTCACTTTTTTTTTTACTTTTGAACTGAAGCATAATGTTTTTTTCGAACTTGATTTGTTGGGCAGTTGCACCGGACAAATGATTTCCACATAATTAGTTAAGTGGTTGTCTAGTTCCTTGTAATAACACATTGGTACATTGACTAAAACCACATGTGTAGGCTGAATACTAAAACGTCACCAAACTTTGTTATGCTTTTTTATCAAATGACTAATGAAAATAACTGCTGAGTTGCAATGATTTGGTGTGCTCGTTATATAGAGTTGTTAATGTTAGGACATTATCGAAAAACGCTTGTTTACTCAATTAGTTCTTGAACACCTGCAGTGTACTAGGAGGCTACAGATGAGGTCAAAAGGTTGTAGGGGAAGAGGAGCAAAATATGACAGCTTTTTAAAAGCTCTTTATATTTCTAAATTGTTAAAGTACTGTTTGCTATAGATATCCTAAAAGAAAACATTTTTGCTCATCTTCGAAGAGTTGGCATTTTGGTTATTAGTGTTAATATGATGATGTTCTAACGGGAAAAATTGAAATGCATAGGAAGCCTTGAGTCTACTGGTGATGGTAACTCCTCGTTACTCTTCCTAGTGATGAAAGGAGTTTGGTTGTTAGCCGTCATTCCACATCACTAAATAGCGTTTTATCTGGAGCAGTTCACTTGCGATTTGAGGGTGAACTTGTAGGAAAACATATGTACAGGCTTTGGAATCAGAAAAACCGTGTGCAAATTACTTTGTATCTTCAGATTTCTCATGTGAAAATGAGGATTAGGACATCTGTTTGGTAAGGTGGTTGTAAGAAACAATGTGATATTATCCCAAGTACTAAGTATAGTGCCTCGCATGTAGCAGATAATAAATAACTAATCTATTTCACGGTAATAGTGGTAGTAGCCAGAGCCAGAACTAGGGCGAGACGATCAGTAGTCTTCGGTGAAGTATTCACGAGAATGGTCTTTCTCAGGTACAGGTCTGGTACTTGCATAAAGCTGACAGTGTGTGCCTCCTTACATTTTGCTCCATGGGTGCCTTTCTTCACCCGAGGTCAAGGCCTACTACCTGGTAGTGCAACAGATCTGATCATTTATGAAGTGCCTAGATAATCTTTATATACTCAGTCTTATCACCTTTCTCCTTTTAAGCTTTATGGATCATTAAAACAACTGTTTAGAAGCTTGTTTCTTAGTATTTTTATGCTTACAATAGACATTGTTGCACACTGAGATGACATCCAACTAAGGTGTGTTGATGAGCCTGCCCCTCATCCACTTGTGGGTGTTTCCACTCTCTGTTGCTCTGGCCTTGGCATTCAGGGGGGCACAGGGAGGACAGGTGCTCCTCTGAGGCAGTCACCTCTATTCCTATCTGCTGCAGTTATTTAGTCATAAGATTACTATTTAAAGAAAAATGTACATTAAAGTTATATGAGTGGCATTAATGTATTTAAGTGAATAAGTAATTCCAGGTGGAAGACATTGCTACTAGATACTAAATGATGCTGGGTAATTTAGTTTGGAGAATGGAAATTAACTTTTTTTCCCTATTTCTTTAGGGAGGACTGGCTAAAATATTAGTATAAAATTTGTTGGAAAAAAAGGATCTTGTAAACAAAGTCCTACTTAGTCACTGTGATTTTTGGAGGAGATATTTTGGGGTTGAGCATAAGAATTAAAACATCTCCCTTTGCAAATGTAACAAGTGAAAGTCAACTATAGTTTTTCTCAAAGGGAAACTAGCTGCTGTTATTCTGTAAAACTTTTAGCAAGGGAAATAATTACTGTAATTTCAATAGAATGGTGTCTATATTATTAGATTGCTATGTGATTTATTTTTCCTAAAGCCGTGTTTTTTTTCAGGTAGAGGAGCTCAGTAAAATACTCCATTGTGGGAGAAATGAAGATAATAAAACATCTGATGTAGAGGTGCAAACAGAGAACCACTCTTCTTGGTCAATCTCAGGTATTCAGCTGATGGTTGAAGATATCCTAATACTTTCACATTCAAATCATGCTAACATGGAGTTTTCTTTAAATTTAAAATAGACAAATGTCTGGATAAATATGAGAACAGTTAAAATGTTGACTTCTTTCCATATGATATGGTATTTTCAGATAATGTGTTTCTCTTCTGGTGGGAAAGCAGAAAAGTATTGTCATTCCTATAAATACATACTTAATGGTAATATGTTTTCAGTGGCACATTCACTGAGTTATTTTGCCATGCTGTGAGCCATCTGCTCTCATACCAGGTTATGATCAGGGGCACTTGTATTTTCTTGTTGGTACATTCCACTTAGCATTGTGTTCAATGCCAGTCTCTCAGATCCTTGTGGGAATGGTGAGTCCGCAACTATGGCCTCATCAATGACATTATGTTGTGAGGCAAAATAACTGAGAAACTGAGTCATAATAAATAGGGATCACATGAAATGATTTTTTCAATTAAGATTTGCCTTGTTTCATTCAGCACATGATTTAACTGCATTGGTAAGCACAGCATTACTATTAACATTACGTATCTGTGTGATTTTTTTTTTAAGTCACCATCATGAGAGAAATTTGTTAGAAAAATCAACCCTTGGCACATTTGTCTTTATGCTGTTGTCATTTGATATACAGTGATATTAAGGTATGTAGTTAGAAGTTGTTGAAAGTTGCTAATTTTTTTTGACATAACACAACCTATCCACCTGTTTTCTTCTCTTGTTAGGGGGCAAATCTAAATCTTTTTTTAATTTTAATTTTTAATTTCAACTAAAGTACTGGAGGTGACATTAGAACCAAAAATACATTCTTATGCACATTTATCTGCACCATCAGTTTTAGTCTGATAAAATGTGTACAGTTTTACAAATATGATTGCAATGTGTGCTGTTGAGTTCAATGCCAGTGTTTTGCAATTAAGTCCTTTTTATATACACTCTTCTAATATACCACTTAATTTATTTTTGCTACAGATTATTATTATCAGACTTACTATAAGGATGTTAGTCTTCCAGATAAAGAAACTGAACTGTCAGTTCAGCAAGATCAGGATATCGAAGCATCCACTTTTAATTCTAAAGATCAGTCGCAAATAGAAAATGAGGCTTATGCTGGTACTGATACAGCAGAAAGTGTTAAATGTGGACAAGAGGACCATTTTGCCTCAGATGCACAGGTAAGAAAATGCTTAACATGAAACCATTGATGCCCAAGAACTTGTCCTTCTTTGTAAGAAAAATAGGCTTGTTTGGTCTCTCACAACATACACAAGAGTTTTACACATTATATATATAATTATACAGTGAATATTACATTTTTTGAGAAAAAGTAGAACTTTGTATTTATAATTGTTTTCCTTCTCTCTTGTGTTCCAAAAATCTATGATATGTGTAATCTAAAACAAAATTTGCCTGTATATATTGACTCAACCAAAAAATTTTGAATAATAACCACAATATCATGTTCACATCAAATTTTTTTTTAGTGCTTCCTTTATGTCATATATCCTGCCATTGTTCAAATTTCCCTAAATGTTTTTTGAATTTGTTTTTATGGATTGTTTGAATTAGGATCCCAGTAAAGTTCATACTGTGCAATGTCTTGATGTGTGATCATAATCTGTATCTCTCCTCCATCTCTCTTTAAAAAATTTTTTCCTTTGAACACATAATTACTAAAGAATCTAGATCATTTGTCTTAAAGAATATTTCAGTACCTATTTTGTGGATTCTTCCCTTCGGTATCAGGCATTTATTTATGAGTAATGGTCACTCACTTTTAATTCCTCAAAACTGGGTCAAAACTGATGCTCTAGGAAATATTTTAAAAAGCAGATCAAATTGTAATTGATAGCCATCCCTTCCCATTGCAGAAATTGAAGTCTCATGACTTAAAATGACTTTTAAGTCTATTTATTGTTTTGAATTCTGCCAACTTACAAATTGCTATCAGGAGGTTTTCTTCTCATTTGACATGAATGTGTTTTGTCTAGGAACCAGCATCTGCATTAGCAACAGAAGATACATCCTTAGAAGGTCCATCATTAGCTGAAAGTTTGAGAGCTGCAGCAGAAGCTGCTGTATCACAGACTGGATTTAGTTATGATGAGAATACCGGACTGTATTTTGACCACAGCACTGGTTTCTATTATGATTCTGTAAGTGTCTCTGACCTTTAAATACTGTATGGTTGTATTCTTAGGTGCTTGATACCAAATATTCAATCCTAACTGAATTAGGGAAAGCAAGAAGCTGCATTTATAAATTGGTGACTCAAAGCTATTTGACAAGGGTAAATAAATATGAAATAGCTTATGATGCTACACTTGAGATTTTTAATTAAATAAATTAATTGTGGTTATAGATTAATATTTTAGAGAGGTCTAATGTTTAATATGTAAAATAACATACAAAATGTTAGAGCATTTATTATGCTCTAAAAAGCAGATAACTGTGTTGTAAAATGTTTAAGAATATGAACTATCATTTTCAAATAGAATTTCTTACGAAGCTTCATTGTTGATTCTAGCCTTAAGGTGATTTTTTTAAAAAGTTATTTCGAATAATTATGTCTTTATGATTCCTGAATCCATTTGAGGCCACAGAGAAAGGCTTTTTCTTGAATTCGCAATAGCATGTTTAGTATTGTTTTATATTCTGTGGCTTTTAAGCATTTCAATTTTTAAAAATCAATCTGTTAACAGTAAGAGCTAGGAAATTATTGTGAAATCAGAAATGTAATGGAACACAGACTAAGACAGAACCAGAAAATAAAGTACTTGATTTATAATACAGTGTTATGGCTATTAAAGTCTGGTACTTAGATGGATTTTATTTGGGATTTGATAACAAATGATGGAACTCACCCATGTACCTCCGCCTCAATGTTCTAGGCATGTGATCTGGTCTTCAGGAATTCCAGAATGTAGTGTGTCCAAAAGTGGAGCAGATATTCACCATTCCAGTTACTGGAACTATTATTAACTAATCTAGGGAACATAATGGTAATACTAATAAATATCCTACTTAGTTGAGGGATTTCATTAGTTTGTCAGTTTGCCTTTTGTATACTTTGTAAATCCTTTGTATGCTAATTGGCAATGCTAATTAATACCCAGAAAATTATGTTTTAACTGTTACTATCAGAGAGAGTAGCTCTTACTTATTTGGTTTCTAGGAGAATATAGAGTTCGCAAGTACATGATATTAGTCCTTGTCATTCCCTGACTTTCCTATCTATATCTTTCCTTCTTACATCTATTCTCTAAATGGTTAGTTACATTCTGCCAGGTGATATGTCTCAGTAAATTAGACTTCATTGTTTTGCCATTTCACTTGTGCTATTTTCATTTTATTTTAATTAAGTAAAGTTTTTGTTGTATTTTTGAAGTTGTCTGTATTTTGGGTTGAAAGATGTAACAGATAAAATGGTTTGAGTTATGGAAGTTCTCTTATCACTGGAAATAAAGATTAGAACACCCCATTTAATTTTTTAGGTAAGGGAAAGATAGTAAGAATTCCAAATATTTTTATAAGAGGTGTGTAAAATGGATTAACAGTAAATTGCAGTTGTATTAACAGTAAGGAAATAAATTATTCTTTTTCAGATATGTTTAGTTGTTTAAGCTCAGTGTATCATAAAGTGTTTTCTGGTCTGATCTTCATGGATATATGATATAAATAAAAATAAAACTTCATTAAATCTTGATTATAGACTCCTGGCCCATATCAAATAACTACATAATTTTATCTTTCTAGGTGTTATCTATAATTTGTCAAAATTTATTTTTGCACGGCTGCTTTACTCATAAGTCTTATGTAATTACCAATTGTAGAATTAATTAGTGAAGACAGTGTTACCTATTTTTTTAAAATAGAATGTTATGTTGTACTATTCATGATCTTTATTTTATTTTCAAATTTTTGTTTGGAGCTTTTAGTAGTGAACATTAAAAGGCAAATTTTTGTTTTGTAATACTGAGAGGAAGGTTTGGGGGTTTAAACTACCAAGTCATGTAATCTTAAGGATGATGAGCCTGGAATTGCTTTTATATGGTCAGCTTCTTCTGATGCATGCCCTAGTTTTCATAACTTCTAAAAGGTTCTTTGCCACTTTTCATTAATGTATTAAATTGAACCATATGAAATTGCTGTTTGTGTAATAAAATGATCAAATACTGGCAGTTTCATGAGATTCAGTTTAATATTTAAATGTATTTATTTTCATACTAGGAAAATCAGAGTAGATATTGAATAACAAAGTATTTTGGAAAATTGCCAGGGTTTTTCATTCTGTTATCTTTATTCATTATCTTCTGAAAATACTATAGTTCTTGAAAAGATCATTTACTGTACTTGGCTATATTAATCTTAAAAATCCATAGCTAGCAATTACAGAATAGGTCATATTAGTATAAATTTGTATCTTTTAGGGAAACAAATTGGCTGTTTCTCTCAATAACCATAAAAATATTAATATTCTTTAATTGGAAAATCTCACTTTGAGTAATTTATTTTTTTTAAAAATCCAAAAAAGGAAAATGACTTTGTTCAGTTGTAGAGCAATATTTATAAGAACAGAAGAAAAGGGAGAAGTTGGCCCACAAGATACTGGGTAAGAAAATGATAGTATATTTACTTGAAAAAGCATATTTAGGCCTTAAAGTGATAGTTTATAAAGACTGAGGAAATTTTAAGGGCATTTCTGTTGAGTTAATTTTTAAATTTTATTTCATCTTACCTGAATAGAATTTACTGTTTTCTTGACTTTGAAAGGAAAATCAACTATATTATGATCCTTCTACTGGAATTTATTACTACTGTGATGTGGAAAGTGGTCGATATCAGTTTCATTCTCGAGTAGATTTGCAATCTTACCAGACTTCTGGCACAAAACAAAGTAAAGATAAAAAATTGAAGAAGAAAAGGAAGGATCCAGATTCTTCTATAACAAACGAGGAAAAGGTAATGTTTTCATTTACAAAATGGTAGTCTCATAATTAAGCCAACATTTTTGATGAAACTGAAAATCATTCAGTAAGTCTGTGTTTCAAACATATTCACTAAGATAACAAGATACCGGAATCTGTGAACCAAGGAACATGCACATGGGGCAAAACAGATTTTCACAAATTCTCAGTCACTAGATGTAGAAGGAATTTCTTAAGAGGGCAGACTTAGGGTAGATAAAATAGTATTGTGTTATATAATTTGGAAGAACATTGAGATTCATTTGATAAGTTGATGTCAATGCACAGTTCACAATAAAAGAAAAACCGTTTATAAGCAGAAGTAATAAAAATTCAACTTTCTTAATCATGTTGAGCAGTATCTTAAAAAATAAAGCAACACTTAAATATTAGCTTAAATTATTAGCAACACTTAAATATTAGCAAACATTAAAAAAATCCGTAACTAGCAAATAAAGGGGGAGGTCATTTATTAGGAGTGTAAATTGGTATCTTTTGGAAAATGACTGTTTGTCTCAATAACCATAAAAATGTTAATAATCTTTAATTGGAGCATCTCATTTTTGAGTAATTTTTTTTTTAATCCGAAAAAGAATAAG